TTAAAGTAGTCATTTCTTTCTGAAACGAAATTAGGGGAAATCGAACATACCAATTGAGACTAACCAAATGCGCAGAGAGAATGCTGCCTTTTCATTATACCATTTCACCTTTTGCGGAACAGGAAATTTGTATGATCGATTATATGTCTCAAGATTTGAAGTTACCCCCCTCATTAACGTCGAAGTACGACAAACAGTTTGTTTTTAACTCCATCAGAAACTTTTATTTAGCTTGCAGAATTATCCAGAAGAGAAAATTCAAGGAACTGTTGGAGGGCTTCAAAAATGAAGATATCAGACTTATCAAATCAAATAAATTTCAGATTTTAGGAATTCAGTCATAGGAGGGCATGTTTATTGAAGATTATATCCTCGTCGAATCAAAAAGATTCTGTCGATTCTGCAAAATTCCCCAAGAGGGCGACACACAGGATATCATAAATTCTGATCTATCAGAGAAGAGTCCTTCATTTCATGCAAATTTATGCTCAAAATTCAGCCAATCAGAGAGCAGTATGGCTACAATATCCCAAACTTGGGGAAATCATCACCTACAACCTTACAGTCAATTTTTGTTTAACAAAAGTGACCAAAATTTTTCACCAAAAGAATCAATTCGTGCTAATTCCAATCCAAATTCATCAAATGTTTATCATCAATCATTTCCAAATCAAATTTATCAAAAACTTATGAAATCCCACAAATCATTTCCAATTCTAATTTTGATTTTCAGGAAATGTCATTAGAGAATATTTTATATCTACCTTACCTATCGGAAAAAGTAATAGATTCAAATATGAGGGGAAGGACGGTTAAAAGACAGTCGGAAATTGTACAAGCACAAAAATTGGAAAAGTGTAGCGAAAATATCCCCAAAAAGAAAGTTGACATTGAAAGATAACTATGCAAGACCCTAGAAAACCTCAGACTTGAAAGATTCAAAAATTGGAAAAACTCAACTTCATGAGTAGAATAGTAAATAAAATCACAGCGGATTTACCTTTAGTATCTAAGGATCGGGAAGCGTCTACGACTGATTTATCGGATCTCTTGGACGCATATTTAATAGGAGAAATAACATTTAAAAAAGTCAACTGGTAACACCGAGGAAGTGTACTCTGGCAGGACAGAGAAGGATTTCTTCATTTGGACACCTTTTGCCAGGTTTCTGGGACGACGCCACAGTGATAAACGATTGTGTCGTCATATCTAAGATCGTGAATTTTTCCACGAAAAGCAAAGCGACCATATATGAAGTATTTGCATCTATCGACTCCAACCACCTAAGTTAAATTGCCACAGTTTCTTTCAAAAAAGATTCTTTAATTTATCTTTAAGAGAAAGGGTTTCTCCTAAAAATAAAACGCACAATTGCACTTTTTTCCCTGTGTCTTTGTTGATTGAGCGCCTTCTTCATACAAAGTTTAACAACTGTATTTTTCTGGAATCAAACCGAATATGCTTCACTATAACAACTTTGAAAGGTTCAACCAATAAAAATGAAGAAGTTTTAAGTTTTAAAAGTCCGCGCAAAAAAAACACTCATAGTGGCTCAAGCGCTTACGACGCCATTCGACACCTAGACCACAATGAGCTGCTGAAAATGATTGTTGAATAAACTCTGCAAAAACACCAAAAAACTACTGCTTTGATGTTTCCAAGGACTCTTTACTTGTTGTGAAAACAAAAAGTGCAAATGAAGGATGGAGAACGCATAAAAAAGGGGGTCCCTCAAGGGGGTGTCCTCTCTTTAATTCTACTCCATCTTTTTTTTATGGAATTGAGGCCATCACTCTGAAAACGTCACCCTATTACGCCGAAGGTGATATGCGTTTGTTCATTCTAGGCACTAAAACTAGACAACTGCGGTCTAACGGAAGCATGTATTGAATACTAAACTCATGGTTCGACGAAAAACATCTCAGCCGCTCATTTGGTGATAATTCTTTCTTCACATTCTGCTTCACAGCCTATCTGCAGATGTTAACTTCAAAACTTTCTTAAGATAGGGACCATATCTTCACAACAAAAAACTCAATATCCTCGATGTTAATAGTTTGAATATGTTATTTTTGGCATTGACTGCGGTTAAATTTGCGTTTCTTTTATTCAAACCAACAACACAAAAAATCATTTGCTTCCTCGAGGAATCGATCTCTAGATCTTCACGGTGCATAGACATTTGTGTCCTTGACAAAACAGTCCGAAATAATAAAATTGTACCAGACTTTTATGTCCCAGACAAAATAGTTCGAAACTGTTTTGCGAAATTTCTTTGATTTGTTCTTGTGATCTTAAATTGATCAATTTAAAAGCGCATTTGGCCGAGCGATGAAGTCACAAGTTTCAAGGTCAAATGTCCTGAAGTTCTATCTCGGTTCCGACAAAAAATTTTTGTAATTTAGTCAAATTTGAAATAAAAAAAACCTAAAATTGGGTAAACTGAGCAATGGGTTGAATTGATTGAGCCAAAAAGGAAGAGGATGGAAAAAGCTTGATTACATTGATCAATTTGCCGTTTTCAAAACGAGTCTAGCTCAATTTTGAAATTTTCTTGGAAAAAGTTCAACTTAGAAAAATTTATTGAAAATTATGGCTTCGCAAAATCAACTTTTAAAAATAAATTGACTTCGAATTATAGTTTGGTGTGGCTGCTGCACCCTTTTAGGAAACTCAAAAGTTGACTTGGGTCGTAGGCCGCAACTAGTTTGGAAAGGTTTTTGTCAGGTTTAACTTAAAGAGGTTTTTTACAACGGGACACTCTTTGCCCGGCTCACAGGGGTCCTGAGTTAATTTTGTCTCTAATATGCTGCGCAAAGTAATTTCTGGTCTAATTGCTCAGTTGCGTGGCCTTATTGATTTAATCCTTCCTATTGAGAGCTTATCAAAATAATCCGGTCATTAACTAGTGTGGCAATAACCCGAACAGTTTTGGGACAATTTTGTCTGGGAACCAAACGTCTTGGACACTTTCAGCATTTTGGATTGTTTTTGCCGGGTTATAAATGTCTGGGACACAAATGTCCTGACACGATCTGCACAGATCCAGCCAGATCTGCACACTCTTATAATAACCTCACACGGGTCTGTCAAAACTGCTCGTTTTATACTTAACACGTGGCTAATTAACTCGCACTACCAAACTGTTCCAAATTGAATTGAGGCATCTCAGTATGCTCTTTTTCCCTGAGCATCATTTTTTGGGTGTATCGAGTGGTTTTACAAGGTTAATTATGGAGACTAAATATGTTTGTCATGGCCTAATTATTCCACATGTCAAAAATTGGTTAGTGGGAACAGTAATTTTGTTTGTGAAATTTTGCAGGTGGAGGAGAGGAAAAAGAGCCGCTAGGTGGTCTTTTTAACTTCACACGACTCAAAGTTATATACTCTTCATAATCTCAGTTTAAATTTGATATTCTCAGTCTAAATTTCATAGTTTTGCCAATAAAAATTTTACCAAAAACTATTCGAGAACATTTACAGGGCAGTTGGAACTTTCAGGGCTTTGAGCATTGCACTAATACGAGCAGTCTTGTTCCACGTTTTTGCAAAAAGGCAATAAACAGTTTCAAAAACTAGTTTTAATGGAGTAAAACTGCTTTCACACGACTTAGCGTGGTTTTTAAGACCACTGTTACATGTCTACTACAAGTGTAATATATTTACTTCTTTCGCTCGAAGTTGAACTAAAAATCAACAAAATTCATCATGAAGTTCCTGAAACTGAGAAAATTTTCGGGGAAACTTTTAGTGTTGTTTGAATACCGACATTACGAGGCTAAATTAGGATTTTGGGTGAATTGTGAGCGAATTCCGCAGCAAGCCAAAATCACATTTGTCGCGGAATCCGCAATCCTTGCTTCTTTTCTTTGAACTTCTATGCTGTCCAGAAACAAATAGCTAAAAAACACTATCCGCGCTACAAAAAGAAGTGAATTTGCGGAATCGGCAACAGTATTTGTGGAATCCGGAACATTTTGTGGAACCCATAAGCAAATAGAAAATAATTTGTTAACTAGATTGGCGCTATTGCGAAATCCGTAACTGCACGCGAAAACCACTCAAGACTGCAGAATCTACTTAGAATTGGCCTCGTAATGTAGCACCATAATTTTCTGCTTAAAATACGAGCAAGTCTTGTCTTCGTCTTTTTCATCTGAAAATAACATATTTTGAAATCAACGCATTTTAATTTTCAGGTGTAAATCTTTTTGTCCAAATCATGCTGCATACTTTTTTTGTTGTCAACTGGTTGCTTAGTCATTTAATCGCTATTAGGGGAGCAATGTTAAAGTGGTTTTTATTCCACCTTTCAGTCAAACATTAAATGTTGAGGTCCATCGTGATCTGTGCTCGCTGCTTGAGGTCGAAGCAACTTTCCCAGCCCAAAAAAAACAGCCAAAAAAGCCTGTAAATTCAATCAGGGGTACAAATAGCGGTTCTTCGTAAAGAGCTGAAGAACTCGTTTGTTGGTCTTATCCCTTTTTGATAGATTGTCTTAATTTTTAATCTGTCCAATTTTATTCAGACACTGACTATTTTCAATACCCATTTGATAAACTATGTTTTTTTTTGAGAAACCATTTTAATATTGTGATATTGTAATGAAAGTTTGCATGGGCGAAAAAATCAACTTTAAGGTGCCGTATTTAAATGAAATGATGATTGAATAAAAATTAGCCACTCTATGTATCACAAAAGCCACCCTAAATTAGCCACTCTATATTAATTATAACAAAAGATCAATCACGCACCAATTTAGCCACAAGTAGGCCAATAAGTTGCAATATTTTGAACGTGCAGAGAAGAGGAAGCGGAAAAAAGCGGAAGCAGTTTCTTTAATATTCTTAAAATTAGTATTAATAAAAAGAAAGGCTATTTTGCGTGTTCCCTTCAAGCTTTTATCAAAAAATGTAGGCTGGGTGTAATCTAATTAGTTAGTGAGCATGAACTCATTATTGTTTGGGGGGCAGTTAAGAAATTGAGATGTGTTTTAGTTTTCGGGAAGGGAGGAAATTGCAAATCGTATCAAACCTCATCCCCTGGGAAGCACGACATCTACCTGTTGGACACTCCCTTCATGTTCGCAGCCGGGTTAACTTTCCGCGGTGGAGGTTGGCAGGGACACATACAAGGAGACCCAATTCTGGAACCCCAACGGTCCTACATAATGGCAGGGGGAGGCTGCGGTATTATTCAACCCTTTTCGGTCAAAGATCCGAAAACGAATCAGGATTTAAGACTGACCTACATCCCACTCAACATGTATGATCGCACTGGAATGGCAACTACTTAGAATATTCAAAACATATCATCTCCCTGAGCACAAACACCAGATTCAAATAAAAACTTGACCGCATTAACGATGAGCTTATATATGCTCAATTTTTTCACTTTTTTTCGACCGTTCCAAGGATGAGCTAATATATTCGCAAATTTTTCAGTTTTTTTAACATTATAAGTGGCAAAATGGACTTCACCCCCACTCCCCCCCCCCATCTGCGGCGTGTTTTGCTACTGTGAGCTTAATTTTGTGATATGGTGAGCTGAAGTTTCATTTGGTTTGAATATCTAAATCTTGTTTTCTTTTGTGATTTTTTGTGGAGCATAATTGATCTTCCTTAACCTTGTAAAAACCCTTCAGACTGGTTGCAGTTATTGAGTATTAAAATAGACACGTGACAATTTCTGGATGCTTTCTAGAATCGTATTTCCTTTGGAGCGCAGACTGTCATTCTGCTTTCAATTGGTTAGCTTAAAAGGGATGGCGATGATCATCAAAGCAAACTCTGGGTGCTTTCAAATTTGTTATTACACAAGCAAAGCTTGTGCTATTGTATGAACTATCTTTTTTTCCAACCTAAGTCACAAATATTGAAATCGCAAATATAGAAGGGTTGCGTTCATTTGAAAGTGTTCATGCTGATCAATAACCAGCTATTAAGTACAGCCAATGCTAAGGATTTTTACAAGGTCTATTATTGTTTTGACTTTCGTAACGAAAGTAACGGAAAATTTGTGACGGAAAATTTGTGCTTGGGGTGGGTTTTTCTTCTGACAAATTTCGACTTATCAACTAGCCATTTTTGTCGGGATTGTTTTTATCATTCAAATAGTATTGTTGTGTTGAGCTCAAACTTGGAAAGATATTGCACCTGAGATTGTTTTTCGTAAAGTTATGGGGGTTTAAACATTGCCATTTTGGCCCATTTGCGACAGTTGAAGCGCAATACATTTCTCAATATTCAAAGCGCGGAGATTTAATCCGTCACAGAAATCGTCCCAAATGGGTTGAAGGAAGCTTATTTGCCATAATTGGTTTGTTAGTAGGAGCAAAATTTATCACTTTGTACTTAATATGGCGTGTAAGGGGATGATTTTCACAAAAAATCTCAAATTTTTTTTTTGTTACATTTATTTTTTTCATGTTATTACTGCTCCACAGACTGCTCTATAAACTGAGGCAAGTTAGTTGGTCAATTTGCATCATAATTGGCGTGCACCACTTAAGTAACTTTGTAGATCCAAAACTTTACTCGTTCAGTTTTTCACAGTAGCGTTATCGGTCATTTTTTTGCTTGTGTATGCGAAGTGCAACTTCGCCTCTGTGTAAATTTTGTTTCGTGTGCTTCATTATTTAGCATAACTATCAATCAAAATTTAATTTCATTTTTGAAGTCGTTTTCCCCTAGTTGATCACGGGAGATTATCGTGCAAGATCTTGCATAAGTCTTGCAAGATTCTTTTGAAGAAGATGCATCTCTTTAAAAGATCTTGCAAGATTCTAGCAGGATCTTGCAAAACAACCTCCTTTAAAGTTGCTAGTGAAAAAAGCCTGAGCTTTTTTGGTTAAAACACTTTACTGGAGAAGACAAGTAAATTTTTTACCAGTAGACACTTTGCCAGTTGCAAGTAGAAAAACATTTAAGTACTTGAACAAACCAACATTAAAAAGAAAAGTTTAACCTCATAATAAGGTGAACATAATTATTCGTCGGATTTATTGAATACAACAACAACACGTCTCAAGCTAATTGACTCTATTCATCAAAATTTTAAAAAAAAATTTACCGCTAGAGTTGCAAAATTAGATGCAAATCCCAATAATGTCAAAAAAATTTTTTGAAAATTTTGTTTTGAAATGCATAAGTTATAAGGAAAACCTGAAACTAATTACGTTACGAGAAAAAAAATCAGCACATACATGATCATTTTTAAAATTTAGCTAGCCTAATTTTTTTCCGAGCTTAAACTCAGAATTATTTGTGAACGTAGTCAAATTGGGTCTCTATGGTTTTTTTGGCGTTCAGAATAAGGTTTTGTGAAAAATTTCATAGTTGTTTATCTTGCAAAGTCTTGCAAGAATCTTTCAAGATCTTGCAAGATAACTTCAGTCCTGCAAGATCTTGCAAGATAACTTCAGTCCTGCAAGATCTTTCAAGATAACATCACTCTTGCAAAAGCTTTTTAAATAACCTCCAACTTGTAAGATTTTTCAAGATAACCCTCATTTGCAAGAATCTTGCAAGATCTTGCAAGATAACCCTTACTTGATTGACAAGGGTTGACAATTTGAAATTTTCATTCCTATATCACCACGCCTAAAAAAACTAAAAACTATCAAAAACAATTAAAAACTTCACAGTTTCCGAAATGATCTAAATTGACCCTATCAAAGCGAATTCAATATTGTTCCAATTGCTTTTGAGTGTCGAGGAAATTTTTTAGGGTTTTTAAAAGAATGTTGAAAAACGAGCAACAAGATGAAAAAAAAAATTTTTTTTGTTATGTTTTTGCCAGTTTGATTTCTAAATTATATTCCCCCACATGCTATCCTAAATAGATACTTATAAAAATTGCGTCTGGAAAAGTATTATTAAATACAAACCTCGTGGCTCAGTTCAAATTGAAAGGATGCTTACGTCCTAGTAGGATTCTTACCCGCACCGAGCGCCTATGGATCAAAATCGATTATATTGTCATAATACGGTCAGTATCTATAAATGACAAAATGATCGATTATAATCCATTGAAAATGGATTATAATCCTAATAATTTTTATGCCAAAAAAATCCGTTATAATTGTTTATAATCGATCTTTATGGACTTTTTTGAGGGGTTATATATGAAATTTACTTTTTTTTCAAAGTTATCTCATTTCCTGTTTAGTGCAGTTGCTACGCATTACGTTTAATAAAAAGTTACTTTTCACAATGAAATTTTTGGCTCAACTTTTTAAACTCATCGCGGTTAAACAATTAAATTCAATTTTTTTTTTCTACCACAACCGCCGCCATAACCCCCGGTTTACCCCCCCCCCCCCCATTTACACCTCCAGCTTACCCCCATACCCTCATACTCCCACCCCCAGTTTATCCTTACACCACCCCTTTAATGGGGGGAGGGGGGCGGTAAAAAGCAGGAATTACGATGAGACGTGGCATTTAGTAAAAGGCATGGCATACAATTTGCAAAAATAATTGAATTTAGCTCTAAAAATGAATGGATCATAAGTGATTATAAGGATTATAATGGATTTTTAGTGTAAAAATAATCGATTATAATGGATTATAATGGATTATTTTTGTTTAAAAATAATCAATTATAATGGCAATACAATCGAATTCATGGTCTGAATTTAACATCTGCCCGGGTTGATTCCCATAGACCAAAAATTCTAACCATACAATTCCATAAACTAAGTCAATGAAAAAATACTAATCATACAAATTTCATACATTTTGCTAAAATGGTGTCGTCAAATTTTGAAAAAACTTTTCTCTTGTTTGTTCAAAAATTCGGTGTATCGTACTACATAAAAAAGAAAAACGTTTGTCAAAAAAAAAATAAAAATGCTAATCATACAATTTCCAAATATGGAAAATGTATGACTAGCATTTTTTTGATGGCAACGACAAAAATTTTTGAAATTGCCCCCAAAAACTTTTTTTTGTGTTTTTTTTTCAACCGCAAATTGATTTTCGTACTCGAACAAACTTTTTTTGAAGAAAAAAAATTTGCATGCCAAATTTAATTTTTGTGTGTATAATGTAGTCCTGGATATACTAATTTTGGTTTTTTTTCTTTTCTCAACTTTTTTCAAAAACGCTTAAATTTCCTCTTTTTTTGTATGACATGTTTTTCTATGCTTTGATCAATGTCTGGTAATTTCAAAATTCAAATTTTAGAAATAATCATCTTTGAAAATATTTGCCAAAATTTAAAAGTTACTTTCGTTATTTTATTTGTGTGAGACAGAATTAAAACGTTGCAGGCTGTTTGCAATGCATTTTCAATTCGAGACGGCCAAAATTTTGGTTACTACGTTTGAGTAACCAAAGTTTATGTCATTTGTGTTCGGTTACGAACACAACCAAAAAATTTTGAGAAATTAAAATGTAAAAAATCAATAATTTTGGTTTATGGAAAAATGCTAGTCATACCATTTCCATATATGAAAAAATACTAATCATAGATCTTTCGTGCTATTTTTGTACTTATTGAATTGCATGAAAAGTGTATGATTAGCGTTTTTCCATATAGGAAATTGGTATGACTAGCATTTTTAGTCAACCCGAGTGTAATGGATTATAATGGATTATTTTTGTCCCGGGAATCCATTATAAACTATTAGAATCCATGGGCGCTCGGTGCGGGTATGATTACGCGTTAATTTGCTGCTTTTGCGTTAATTGGAAGAAATATATCGCGCGTTAGTTGTCCCAAATTGAGTTGTGGTGGTCAGAAGAGCCCCAAGTTCATTCCTTTTTACAATAATAACAAGACTGCTTTTTTTCAGGGTAAGCCTTGAATTTTCCGACTACCTCCTAGCTAGTCTTGAATTTTTTTGTTTAATAAAATTCTGATGAATTACAATAACTAATTTTGGATTGACAATATCAAACAAAATTTGCTAAAACTTGAGTCGAATTAAAATGACCAATTGGTTTGCAAAGTTAAAAATAAATACAAATTGCGTGGCTCAAGTCAAACCGGAATGATGCATACGCGTTAGTGCAGGATGCCTCAATTCAGTTTAAAACGATTTATGAGTGTTTATATTTCGTCGTATCGGTTAGCGCGTTGAAATTATCACCTATTAACCTTTACTGCAACTCCTTTGTAGGTAAGTGGCAAGCACACTCGGATCGCCAGCCGAAGATTTCCGGTTCGACACCCAGACCCTGTCAACTTTTATAAGATTGGTCTGAATAAAAAAATCATCTAAGCAAATTTATCCTTTACTTTCTTCGAAGTTTGGAACATTAAACAAAAAAGCTCATTTAACAGGGTGAAGTCCTGAATATTCAGCCTGCTATTTAGGGCCATTTTTTATTTTTTTTGGTAAAAAGTTGACGAAAAAATGGAAAACGGCTCTTTTCCAGTCCCCCCTTTCAAGTAAAATTTTGAAAAGCTTATTTAACGTTATCATAAAGCAATGAAAATTGGGGTGGTGAATAAATCAACAATTGTGAACAGATTTGGTCTTCATACTTTACAGCGTAACATCACGCATTAGCCGTAAAAACACGTAAAACAAACATAAAACTCGGGATTTTGAAAGAGGGGGAACTGGAAAAGAGCCTGGAAAACAATCTTTTTCCTCCTTTCCAACTTCATCCCCCCAGAAGCTAATGTAAATTACACTACAAAGAGATGTAAACAGCTTCTTGTATCCTAATATTGAGACCAAGTGAATTGTCTCAATTCAATTTGGAACGTTTTAATCCGCCGCTTACGCGTGCTATCGTGCTTTAAAAATCGCGCCCTACTTACCCTAAATTGGTCAAATGAGCAATTTTCAAACCCACATAATTTGACAAAAAGTTGTCTCAAAAAAGATTTTTTT